TGCTGACACACGCGTGAAGACGGCAGGGGGCGGGACAGGAGCGACGTCGGGGGGGGGGGGGCTGTGGGATCCATGGAGGGGAGACGGTCCGAGGCACAACCCCCCGGCTCGCCTGTGCCCCACCCAACACTGGTTTTACCCCCCTAGGTTTGCTCTTTGACCCCACCTACTTCCTGAGCCGCACGGTGTCCAACGTCATCAGCTCCGTGGTCTTCGGGGACCGGTTCGACTACGAGGACAAGGAGTTCCTTTCCCTGCTCCACATGATCAATGAAAGCTTCCGCTTCACTGCCACGGCCTGGGGGCAGGTACACCCGGGGGGCCTGCAGGGATCGGGGGGAGCGCTGGTTAGCTAGGGGAGCGGAGGGGGATGCGAGAACGTCAGGAGGGCAGCGAAGAGGAAAACCTAGGACCTGCAGTGATGGGTATGAAATAGATACAGGGGAATGTCGGGGGATGGACAGTGTGAATGGGGAGAGATGGACAGACAGAGGGGTGTGTCCGGGGATGGATAGATCAGCTCTCAACCCACCCCGTGTTCAGCGGGCTCTCTGCTCTCCCTGCCCCCCAGCTCTACGAGATGTTCTCGGACACCATGCGCTACCTGCCTGGCCCCCAGCGCGCAGCGTTCAAGCAGCTGAAGGGGCTGGAGAAGTTCATCGAGAGGAAGGTGAAGGCGAACCAGGAGACCCTGGACCCCAGCGCCCCTCGGGATTTCATCGACTGCTTCCTGGTCAAAATGCAGCAGGTACCGGCCGTAGCCGGAGGGGACAGCTCAGCGTTGTCAGTATCAGGCCTGAGAGACCAAACTGGGCTGGAACTCAGGCAATCCAGGCTCTGACCCCCCGGGTGGCCTTAGTCGAATCACTGTGCCTCAGTTTCCCCATCCATACAATGGTTGGAGAGCCAGCCTCTCAGACTGTAAGCACCCAGGAGCAGGGATTGTCTTTTGCTCCATTTTTGTGCAGCACCCTGACCGGGGGGGCCCTGCTCCCACCTGGTGGCTGTGAGCGCAGGGACTCTGAGCTCAGACCCACCCCCGGAGTTCTCTCAAATGTCCCTTCCTTCCCCTGTGGTCTGTTCAAGGAAAAGGAAAATCCTTCCTCCGAGTTTTTCCTGAAGAACATTGTTCTGACGACGCTCTCTGTCTTCTTCGCCGGGACGGAGACCGTCAGCACCACCCTGCGCTACGGCTTCCTGATCCTGCTGAAATACCCGGAGATCGAAGGTAACGGGAAAGGGAGGACAAAGGAAAGGCAAAGGGCCGGATCCTCAGCTGGGGTAAATCAGTCGGACTCCGCTGAGGGCAGCGGCGGTTCCTCCCCTTACGCCAGCTCCGGATGGGGCCGGACAGTCACAGCTCGGCAGCGAGTTTGTGTCCTGTCTGTGTCGCTCCGTCGTGAGTCAAAGGAAGCCGACGGTCAGGGAATGCCGGGTCAGCCGGGCCAGTGGGGCTATGGCAACTGAATGCCAGGGGTTGTATTCTGACCTCTATTCACCCGAGGTCAATCCAGAGTTAACCACTGACTGCAATGGGGCAGGGCCGGATCCTGATCTCAGCTCCCCGGGTTCACTCCAGAGTCACTCCCTTCTGCAATGGGGACAGGGCCGAATCCTGATCTCAGCTCCCCTGGGGTCACTCCAGAGTCACTCGCTTCTGCAATGGGGACAGGGCCGGATCCTGATCTCAGCTCCCCTGGGGTCACTCCAGAGTCACTCCCTGCCTGCACTGGGGTTAGTGCCGGATCCTGATCTCAGCTCCCAGGGGAAGTTTGCTGGAATTGGTGGTGTCCCCATGTGGCCACAGAGCTGTATGCCGGCTCCATGCCAGCCCCACACTGAGCCCTCAGCACGGGGCCCCCCTTTGAGCTGTGCTGACGTCTCCGCAGAAAAGATCCACGAGGAGATCGACCGGGTGATCGGGCGGAACCGCGCCCCGAGCATGGAGGACCGGAGCCAGATGCCCTACACCAACGCCGTCATCCACGAGTTCCAGAGGTTCTGTGACGTCATCCCCATGGGCCTGGCGCGCCGGGTGATCAGGGACACCCAGTTCCGGGGATACACTATTCCCAAGGTAGGGTCCTGGGGCGTCTATCCCCCGCCCCGCCCCATGGCGGTGTAGGGCTCAGCATTGTCACTTGCTCTGGATTCCGGCGCAGTGCCGCAGACAGGGCGGTGCACTGGGCTCGATGCTGCCTCTGGGAAGTCGGGTCATCTAGTGGGCACGGCACCGGACTGGGAATCACGAGACCTGGTTTCTATTCCCAGCTCGACTACTAGCTCAGCGTGTGATCTAGGGCATCGCCCCGTGCCTCAGTTTCCCCCACATGTTAAATGAACAAATGGCGTGAATGACTCCCCAACACTTTTCTATTTACACCGGAAGCTCTTTGGGACAGGGAATATTGCTCCCTTTGTCCAGTGCCCAGCACGACGGGGCCCTGATCGCAGCTGGGGGGATACCGTAATACACCTAATAATAACACTCATCCATGTGGATAAATACCCTTAGCCTGACTTCTAGTGCCATCTTAAACCCCACCCGGTGGGTACGGAAAGACAGGAGGTTCACGCTGGGTACGGTATATGGGCCAGCGCCGCTGCTGGTGCACATCAACAAAGCCACAGCCGGTGAGGACCTGGCCCAGTATTATTATTAGTTGTATTTTGTATTCCCATCGTGCCGAGGAGCCGCAGTCACGGACCAGGACCCCACCGCGCTCGGTGCTGTACAAATACACACAAAAGACGCCGCCCCATAGAGCTCTCAATCTAGGGGCAGCATGGTTCCGTGGTGAGAAGGAGGAGTCCGGACTCCTGGGTTCCCTTCCCAGCTCCGGGAGGAGCAGAGGGCAGTAGCTAGAGCAGAGGGCGTTGGGAGACACGTGCCGAACGTCGGATTGTGGCCTGACCAGGCTCCGGCAATTTAATATTTGCTTTTGCTGCAACTTCCTCCCGTGGTTAGAATGACCCTGAATTGTGCCCCAACATCCGCGCTGTGGGTTATCGGCGTTTAATCATCGCTGTTTGTCACCTTCTCTTCCCCCAGGGGACGGAGGTGTACCCGATGCTGGGATCCGTGCTGTATGACCCCACGCAGTTCAGCAGCCCCGACACCTTCGATCCCAGCCATTTCTTGGATGGGAATGGCCAGTTTAAGAAGAGCGACGCCTTCGTGCCCTTCTCAATAGGTACGAATCCCCCGCAGAGCTCGGTTCCGAGCGGCCCAAGCAGCGAGATCTGGGCCTGGCCCAGCCGCCCGCTGCTAGACCTCACCCTGCGTACGGAGAATTGTGAGGCCAGATCCCCAGCCGGTGTAAATCAGTGTCACTCCATTGGGGTCAAGGGGGCTGTTCACACACACTCCGGGGTAGGTGTGCGCTGAAGCCCCGTGGGGAATCGGGGCCTTGTGAGCTCTTTGGGGCAGGGACCGTCTCTCCCCGTGGGTCTGTCCAGCGCCTAGCACAAAGGTACCCTGACCTCGGGTGAGGCCGACGGACACATCTGGGGTAATTATCAGCTGTGTGCCACAGAACTGGTCACTCAAGAGAACACAAATGTCCCATAGACACGAGTTGCTCGGCTCACTGTGGAACTGGGTGAAACTGAATGGTGTGCGGGGGGCAGAGGTCAGACTCGATGATCCCAATGGGCCCTTCTGGCCAGAGAGTCTGGGTCCCGAGCGTGTTATTTCTCTGTCCTGGGGCCTCGCCGTCCATCCCAGCTCAGTATCGTTAAACCGAGCCGAGCGGGTAATTCTTCACTGGCCCCTTTATCGGCGAGACGCGACCACGTCGCAAATTCACATCGATGTCGCCACATTGTTTGTGTCGGAAAGACAGGAGCCAAAACTCCGAACAAATCAAAACGTTGCAACACTTTCTAAACCAGACGTTTCCATTTTTCAGTGAGAAACTAGTTAGAGTTTCAAAATTTCCTCTCACGTTTTTTAAGTCAAAAATGTTTCAAAGGATGCAAATCGAAACCAAAGGTTGATAAAAATTTCATCTCGGCTCGACCGAAACGTTTCGTTTTGACTCAATCGAAACTTGGATTGAATCGAAACGAAACATTTCAGTTGAGCCGAGATGAAATATTTCCCAACCATTCCATGTGACGAAAATCGCCAACAGTTTCATTTCAGTTCGGTGCGAAACTGTTTTTTCCAGTTTTTCTGAAAACTCCATTATTCGCCCAGCTGCAGTGCTGAGAGCCCCCATCGGTTTGAACCAGGCCTGTGAGTGCCTATCCATCAAAGTCGGGCCTGCCGAAAACCATTAACCCCTCCCCGCACAGCAATGTCATGCGACTGCCCCCTCTACAGATCTTCAAAAGAACGGCACCCAATTTCCCCAGCAATCCCCACTGCTCCAGACTGGGGCATTGTTTGAACAAGGGGTGAGACCCCCTCCCAGATTCTCACCTGCCCTGGCACCCTGCTGCAGCCAGGCCATGACGCCTCCTTTGTCCTCTCTCCTAGGGAAGAGGTATTGTTTCGGGGAGATGCTGGCTGTCACGGAACTCTTCCTCTTCCTCACCAGCGTCCTGCAGAACTTCTGCTTCCGCTCCCCCGTGGAGCCCAAAGACATCGACATCTCCCCGAAGCTGGTCGGGTTCGCCACCCTGCCCCGCAGCTACGAGATATGCCTGGTCCCGCGCTAGCAGCCCCGCGGAGCCAGACGGGATTTCTGGGGGCAGCCTTGGGGAGGGAGGGGAAGGGAGAAACCTGGGGATGGGGAAGGAACGACCCGGCCATGTATCATGTTGAGAACTGGCCCCATCAGAAGAAGGAGCCAAGGGGGTGAATCTCCTGGGGGAATCTGGCGGCTGGTTTCCGGCTGCACAAGGGAACGAGATCTCCCCTAACGAGACACTGTCTCTGAGGGTTCATCTACACGACACACCTAACTCGACCTATAGGAGGCCGACTTCCAGCCATGGTGCATGTCCACCCTACCCTCACCGGGGCACGTTCCCCCACCTAAGAGGGGCAGTGTGGGGGGCTGAGAGCCTGGTCTCTCCGCCCCTATGGTAGCTCCCTGCCAGGAGCCCAGCTGCCCCACAGGCTCCCGACCGGCCGTCCCCCTGCTCTGCTCCCCGTTCCCCGCCGGAAGCAGGAGGAAGTCTCCTGGGGCTTCTCAGCCTCCCCCAGCCCACTCCCCTGGCAGGAGCCGGGCAGCCTTGTCCATTTCACAGCTCCCAAGGCAGGGGCCGCTCGGGCTTCTCACCCCGGCTCCCAGCCGGAAGCAGTGTCCAGCCACCCTGGGGAGCAGGGTTGGGGGGGAGGGACTTTCCTGTCAATTTCACTGCTCCTCCCATGAAATTGGTGAGACAGCCGATGTAAGGGAGGCAGTGTCTGTGTAGCAGGGCACTTACATCTGTGGGGCGAAGGCTGGAGTGTGGACACTGACATAATGAGATCGACATACGCTGCCTTCTGTCGACCTAGCGACGTAGTGTAGACCTGGGCTCAATCTCTCTCTCTCTCTCACACACACACACACACACAATTCCATTCCAAGCATCTTGCAGATTGTGAAACGTTGGGGATCGTTCGATTTTGTGAAGATTTTGGGGGGAGGAGGGCATTTACAAACGGGGAATTTCAGGGCAAACAAATCTGTTGCCGGCCGAATTTCAAAATGTACAGTATCTCTCCAACGTCCAATTTTGGGGCTTATCAGTTCAGGCTTTTTAGGGGGTGGGGAAATGAATTGTGTTAAAATCCCACAGCTTTAACGGTGAATTTGGAGGTGAAGGTTTGTGCCAGGCCCCAAACTCGACAGGTTCCCTTTTAAACAGAAACCTTTTCCCATAGCTGTGCCCTCCGATTGGCATATGGCTTCAGCTGGGGGCGGGCGATCATTCACGTGGGGGTAACAGGACTTCTGCTGCTCTCTGCACCGGGATGAATCTGACCACACTGGAGTGTGCGTCCAACACTCAGTCACTGTCAGGGCAACCTCCAGTGGTCACCTTTGAAAATAAAGCTGCCATGCAACCCTCGCTTTCCCCTTTGTTCCCCGGTATTCACAGCAGCCGGTGCTGCCAGCCTGGAGGAATAGGGAAAATTCTGGTCTGGGGAAATGTGAAGTAACGCCATTGACGCTGGTCTCACTTGGCCGGTTTACACCGATTCACCCCAGGTTTTTTCGTTCGGTTTCTCACCGGAATAAAAACCCGACAAATAAATTGTCCCAGACCAAAAATCTCCCGAACCGAAATGAAAAAAACCAACCTGCCATTTGAAACGTTTTTCGGTTAGTTCCTCAGAGCGGCTTTTGAGCCGAACCGCAATTTGTCCCGGTTTCATTGTTTAATTTTTCAGTTGGGTTTTTTAACCCTTTTTCGGGGGGTTGTAAAAATCTAGCTACGTTTCAAAACAGTATCGTTTTGAAAGGAAAAGTCAAGGCATTTCATTGCGAAAGGAGGGGGACAAACTCTTTCAACTTTAAAAGGAAAAAAAACAGTTTTTTTGTGGCTGGAACTATTTGCTGAATTGGACCCAAATTCATGACTAGTTTTGGTGTCCTGAAAAAATGCACTTTGGGGCAAATTTACTACGGGCTGAAAACATTTCGCCTGGCTCTAGAAACGACTCAGGGGCCCATCTTGGGGGATAACTTCGCAGTCTCTCTTGCCTGTCTGCCCTTTGCCTTCTTGGATTGAATTCCACCGGCTTCCCCTTCCCTGGTTGCCCCAATGTCCAGTCCAATGTCCTTGGCTGAAGCGTTTCCGGACTCGGGTGTCCAATATCCCCCCCAGCCCCCGAGCCCCCATGTTTGGTCAAGATGGGAGTGGCCCGACGGGAGGACGGACAAACTGCAGCCCTTGTGCTCCGGGAGCCCTGAACCCCTTGTTCTCCCGCCCCCCCCCGGGGGTGGAGGGCAGCCAGACCGCAGTTGCACAAGCGGGTTGTGCAAGAGGCAGATGCCAGGCGGGCTGGGCGGGTATATAGCCGCCTGGAGCGCGGAGAAGGGCAGCGGAGCGCAAGAGGCTCTCAGCCCGCCATGGATCTCCTGGGAGCCGTCACCCTGGTCCTGGTCATCTGCCTGTCCTACCTCCTGCTCCTCTCCACCTGGCGGCAAATGCAGGGCCGGGGGGCAATGCCCCCGGGGCCCCCCCCGCTGCCCCTCCTCGGGAACCTGCTGCAGGTGGAGCTCCGCGACATGCGCAAGTCGCTGATGAAGGTGGGTGGCCCCGTCCCGGGATGTCCCGGGCAGCCCTGACCCCTCGAGGGGTCTCCAGCTCCCACCAACGCCCCCTCAGAGCCGCCGACCGGCTCAGCCTTTAGGCGCTTGATTGAGTTTCTGTGACTCCAGGTATCTCTGGGCCGGGGGGGGTGTGTGTCGGGGAGGGGTAGTGCGGGATGCGGGGGGGATGGAGATTGGTGTGTCTGCGGGGAGGGGCGAAGGGCAGGCTGTGCTGGGGGGTGGGGGGGATCTTGGGGTGGGGGTAGGGTGACCAGATGTCCTGCTTTTATAGGGACAGTCCTGGTTTTGGGGACTTTTTCTTATATAGGCGCCTATTACCCCCCACCCCCTGTCCCATTTTTTCACAGTTGCTGTCTGGTCACCCTAGGTGGGGGGCTGGGTGGCAGGGAGGGGAAAGGCAGGGGATGGGGATGGGGGAGCAGGGGACGGGCAGGGAAGGGGTGCTCTGTGGGGGGCGAGGAGGGGCAGGGCATGTGTCTGTGTGTCCCTGACGCTCCGTCCCCCCGGCCCACACGGCCTCTCCGTGGCAGATCAGCGAGCGCTACGGCCCCGTCTACACCCTCCACCTGGGCCCCCGGCGGGTGGTGGTGCTGTGCGGCTACCAGGCGGTGAAGGAGGCCCTGCTGGACCAGGCCGAGGCCTTCAGCGGGCGCGGGGAACAAGCCACCTTCGACACGATCGCCCAGGGCTACGGTCAGTGGCGTCCGTGGGAGGGGAGCGAGCCGGGGGGCGCAGAGGGGGCAGGTCCCCGCCGGGGCAGAGTCACTCAATTCCCACCTCGACCTGGGGCAGGGGCTGGCTGGGCCGTTCCCAGCAATCCCGAAAATAGCTGTCTTTATGCGGTTAGATCCTGGGAGACAGATCCACCGCTCCGCCCCGCCAGGCTGGGGCCAGGGCGCGTCTCAGTTCAGTCATCGATCTGTGGGGCGGGTCCAAACTCAGTTGGGGGGAGGGATTCTCATTTAGATGGGGGGGGGCGGTGACATCATTTTAAAATATCCCTCTCTCAGCATTTCATTTGGCGTTTTGCACTTGCTACCCTCCCTGCCCCCAAAAGGAAAAAACCTCCATAAACTTTCAAAACTCAGGGGTGGTCAACTTTTCAGTCCTCATAAGAACATCAGAGCGGCCAGACCGGGTCAGACCAAAGGTCCATCGAGCCCAGTGTCCTGTCATCCGACTGTGGCCAATGCCAGGTGCCCCGGAGGGAGTGAACAGAACAGGGAATCATCAAGTGTCCATCCCCTGTCGCCCATTCCCAGCTCCTGGCAAACAGAGGCCAGGGACACCATCTCTGCCCCTCCTGGCTAATAGCCATTGATGGACCTGTCCTCCGTGAACTGATCTAGTTCTTTTTGAACCCTGTTATTGTCTTGGCCTTCACAACATCCTCTGGCAAGGAGTTCCACAGGTTGACTGTGCGTTGTGTGAAGAAATACTTCCTTTAGTTAGTTTTAAACCTACTGCCTATTAATGTCATTGAGTGACCCCTTGTTCTTGTGTTATGAGACGGAGTAAATAACACTTCCTGATTTACTTTCTCCACACCAGTCATGATTTTATAGCCCTCTAGCATATCGCCCCTTAGTCGTCTCTTTTCCAAGCTGAAAAGTCCCAGTCTGATTCATCTCTCCTCGTACGGCAGCTGTTCTATGCCCCCAATCATTTCTGCTGCCCTTCTCTGAACCTTTTCCAATTCCAATATATTGTTTTTGAGATGAGGAGACCACATCTGCACACAGTATTCAAGATGTGGGCGTACCATGGATTTATATAGAGGCAACATGATATTTTCTGTCCTATTATCTATCCCTTTCTTAATGATTCCCGGCATTCTGTTAGCTTTTTTGGCTGCCGGTGCACATTGAGTGGATGTTTTCAGAGAACTCTCCACAGTGACTCCAAGATCTTTCTTGAGTGGTAACAGCTCATTTAGACCCATCATTTTATATGTCTAGTTGGGATTATGTTTTCCCATGTGCCTTACTTTGCATTTATCAACACTGAATTTCATCTGCCATTTTGTTGCCCAGACACCCAGTTTTGACAGATCCTTTTGTAGCTCTTTGCAGTCTGCCTGGGACTTAACTATCTTGAGTAGTTTTGTATCATCTGCAAATTTTGCCCCCCTCACTCTTTACCCCTTTTTCCAGATCATTGATGAATATGTTGAATGGGACTGGGCCCAGTACAGACCCCTGGGGGACACCGCTATTTACCTCGCTCCATTCTGAAAACTGACCATTTATTCCTGCCCTTTGTTTCCTATCTTTTAACCAGTTACTGATCCATGAGAGGACCCTCCCTCTTATCCCATGACAGCTTTATTTACATAAGAGCCTTTGGTGAGGGACCTTGTTAAAGGCTTTCTGAAAATCTAAGTCACTACATTCACTGGATCCCCCTTGTCCACATGCTTGTTGACCCCCTCAAAGAATTCTAGTAGATTGGTGAGGCATGATTTCCCTTTACAAAAAATATGTTGACTTTTCCCGAACAAATTATGTTCCTCTATGTGTCTGACAATTTTGTTCTCTACTATAGTTTCAAGCAGTTTGCCCGGTACTGAAGTCAGGCCTACTGGCCTGTAATTGCCAGGATCACCTCTAGAGCCCTTTTAAAAAATTGGCGTCACATTAGCTATCTTCCAGTCTTCTGGTTCCTTCTGCTCTTTTGCCCGCCCCAGGAGTGGCCTTCAGCAACGGGGAGCGGGCGAAGCAGCTGCGCCGGTTCTCCATCACCACGCTGAGGAACTTCGGGGTGGGGAAGCGAGGCATCGAGGAGCGGATCCAGGAGGAGGCTCATTTCCTGCTGGAAGCCTTGCGGGGCACGAAAGGTTTGTCGGTGCCGGGGCCAGGGAGTCAGGGGCCAGACCCCAGCTGGCGGGAACCGCCCAGAGCTCCATTGGGGTCAATGGGGCCA